AAAAAAAGTAGTAAAATAAAGTTAAGTATTGATGATGTACAATTAGAATTAGTTGATGAAATAAAATTTTTAGGTGTCATTTTAGATAATAAAATTAGTTGGAAGGGACATATACAGCACATCCGGTCAAAGCTGGCCAGATGTTTGGCTGTTATAAATAAAGCCCGGCATCTTCTGACCAAACAAGCTTTAAACACATTATATTTCTCATTGTTTCAGCCCTATTTAACCTCTTGTGTTGAAGTGTGGGGCCACACTTACAAAACAAACATTCAACCACTGATTATTATGCAGAAGAAAGCAATACGAGTAGCGAATAACAAACATTATAGAGATCACACTCACTGCTTATTCCTAGATTCAAGAGTTCTTAAATTTGTAGACCTGATCGATTTCAAAACTGGTCAAATTCTTTATAAAGCAAGAAATAAATTACTTCCTGCACACATACAAAAATTGTTTACAGATAGAGATGGAAAATATAATCTAAGAGGAAAATTACATTTCAAAACTAAGTGTGTTCGAACAACAAAAAGAACCTTCAGTTTATCAGTTAGTGGAGTGAAGCTCTGGAACAGCTTGCCTGAAAACATTAAACATTGTAAAAGCATCCAGCAATTCAAAAAACAATATAAGAAAAGTATTTTTGATGAATACAAAAAAGAATAATACACAAAAAGTTATACTGTTTGTCTTACTGTAATCGTCCTTTACCACCATGACTTATGTAACTGAGGGGTAGGGTTTAATAAGCTTATGCTTCATCCTGCTCCTTTTTTAAACATGCTGTATGTTTAGGTAGCATTCTATGCAAACATTGTAAAATCATGTCATGTTTCAAAATAAATAAAATGGAAATGGAAAATGGAAATGATAGCCCAGGTTGCTCTAATAGTGGCTTTTAGCTCTTCTGAATTGTTGGGTCTGGTGTATTGCATCTTCTTCTTCACAATACCCCATAGATTTTCTATGGGGTTAAGGTCAGGAGAGTTTGCTGGCCAATTAAGAACAGGGATACCATGGTCCTTCAACCAGGTACTGGTAGCTTTGGCACTGTGTGCAGGTGCCAAGTCCTGTTGGAAAATGAAATCTGCATCTCCAAAAAGTTGGTCAGCTGCAGGAAGCATGAAGTGCTCTAAAACTTCCTGGTATGTGGCTGCGTTGACCCTTGACCTCAGAAAACACAATGGACCAACACCAGCAGATGACATGGCACCCCAAACCATCACTGACTGTGGAAACTTTACACTGGACTTCAAGCAACGTGGATGAAGTGCCTCTCTTCTTTTCCTCCAGACTCTGGGACCTTGATTTCCAAAGGAAATGCAAAATTTACTTTCATCAGAGAACATGACTTTGGACCACTCACCAGCAGTCCAGTCCTGTTTCTCTTTAGCCCAGGCAAGACGCTTCTGACGCTGTCTGTGGTTCAAGAGTGGCTTGACACAAGGAATGCGACAGCAGAAACCCATGTCTTTCATACGTCTGTGTGTGGTGGTTCTTGAAGCACTCACTCCAGCTGCAGTCCACTCTTTGTGAATCTCCCCCACATTTTTGAATGGGTTTTGTTTCACAATCCTCTCCAGGGTGCGGTTATCTCTCTTGCTTGTACACTTTTTTCGACCACATCTTTTCCTTCCCTTCGCCTCTCTATTAATGTGCTTGGACACTGAGCTCTGTGAACAGCCAGCCTCTTTAGCGATGACCTTTTGTGTCTTGCCCTCCTTGTGCAAGGTGTCGATGGTCGTCTTTTGGACAACTGTCAAGTCAGCAGTCTTCCCCATGATTGTGTAGCCTATAGAACTAGACTGAAAGACCATTTAAAGGCTTTTGCAGGTGGTTTGAGTTAATTAGCTGATTAGAGTGTGGCACCAGGGGCCATCAATTTTGAACCTTTTCACAATATTGTAATTTTCTGATATGATGAATTTGAGATTTTCATTTGTTGTCATTTGTAATCATCAAAATTAAACAAAATAAACATCTGAAATATATGAGTTTGTATGTAATGTATGAATATAATATACAAGTTTCACTTTTTAAATGGAATTACTGAAATCAATCTACTTTTTCATGATATTCTAATTTTATGACCAGCACCTGTATGTGGAGTCAATTCGGGAAGCATTTTAGTAAAACACCTTTAAAGTTCAAGCTTATGCCTTTGGTTACTAACTCAGTCTTCTATGTATGGCCAAGGGGAGGAAGAAAGTCAAATCTTTATGGTAATCCTGTCTTTTTCTCCTCCTCTAAACTTTCATCCAAATGCCAGCTTCCCAAATCGCAAGTTTTGTTTCTTCCAGGGCAGGGATTCCATTAAGAAGCTTTCCCTTCCTCTAACCAACCCACTGAAACTTTTTGGATACTCTCCGGACAGTAGACCCACAACAGAAGAGCAGCTTATTGTGATTCTACAATAAACTGGAACATCTCAAAGTCTATGTTATTAAAACTGCATAGGAGGTATAACATCATACAAAGGTATTAGAGGAACAACCTTGATTTATGCCTGACGTTGTCTAATCCACTGTAAATTCCTCTCTAAAGAACATTTCTCTAATGCTCAATTTTCTAAATTCTACCTGACAGGTAGTGAATATTGTAAAAAAAATATGAACAGTTTTATTGGAAAAGAAAAGTTCTTAGTCTTACTGAAAAAGAATGACAAAAGTGATCTTCTTTCAAGCATTATTTATTTATTAACCCTTGCAAGGGAGAACAGATGCAGTTTTTGGCCCGTTTGTTGTCGCACTGACTACTTGACACTCAAGTAAAGGGCTGGGAGAGATTTACAAGTAGCTTAATCTAAACAAGTTACAGGCAGTTTGGAACAAACAGAGGGATGTTAAATAACCTCAAACCTAAAGGAGAACCTAATGGCTCCCTTTCCAAAAACATCTCACACTGGAAAACATCTTCTTGGGCATCAATGAGCCCAAAGCTTAGCCTTCTTTAGCAGGTTTACAGTTTGAGCGAATACTTACAATACTGAACGAGGAAAAGAGGAATAGATGGGAATATAATTTTACCCACCATAACATTCACCATCTAATTAGGTTCACTCATTTTGGGGTTAAGAGGATGTTGGTCATTTTTTTTAAAAAACAATTAGTCAAGCAGATTACCAAACAATTCTTCCTAATCCACTGTTGCTATTTTTGGTATGCCTCCTTAGACAGACCTTTCTGATCCTCGGAAATGAGCACTGGCCTTTAGTTCCATATTCTTCTTAGATTTATGCCCCATTTAACTACCCTGTTGAAATCGTGCCGAGATCAGTCCGAGATCAGTCCAAGCATAACTGAGATAACTGTTGAGTGTAATTGGCTCACAAACTGAACTGGACCTTGCCAGACACAACCAAGCCGCGCTAAATCTAGTACTAGTTCATTAGTAGGTCTCGCCGCAATTCAGTTCAGGTTTGGTTCTCAGATAACAAAAAGCACATGAGCAGACCGCATCATCTGCTTGCAATCAACCTCCGTAATCATTAAGTTTCAGACATTCATAAAAATACAAGCTTCTCAACCGTGCCGCACGATTTCCAGTACTGATTCTGCTTAGCTAGGGTGACCAGAGGTCCTATTTTTCCTGGACATGTCCTACTTTTCATACCTAAAAAAAACGGGGGGAATTTTTGTCTGGGATTTTGGTCGACTACAGTGCAGCATGTAGTCGAAACACACCGGGCACCGAACCGGGCTGTAAGTTCCGGGGCTGGTCCGGGAACTCCGGTGGACGGGGGGATGGAACCAGCGGGAGACGCAGTGACTGAACCCGAACCAGTGATTGACACCTTAGCTTAGCAGTGTGATGGACCTCAACGTCTGTCTTTGTTTTCTGTGCCTGTAAGCCCTGATTAGATTATCATTTGTTGTATCCACTTCCCAAAAGCAAACTCTGTCAAGTAAATTCACCAAAGAAAACCTTCTTCGCCTGACTGTGCAAGCACCGAAATATCACAATTATAACCAAACTTCCTGAATGTTATCTGCACTGCCATGATGATTTCCTTGATTCCCTCCTTCAATCCTAGAGAGCAGTAGTATTGTAGAACATCTCTAGGAGGTGAAGAACCATGCTAGCATGATGTGTAAATGGTCGGAAGGAACCAAGCTCGGTCCAAACTCGGAAATGATCAGTTTCAGACAGGTAGTGGAAATGGGGCTTTCAGCTACAGCCACAGAGAGACAAAATGCTCATAATTACCTCCACCAAGGAGGTTATTTATTCATTGACGTTGGTTTGTCTGTTTTCAAAATAACATATGGATGAATTTTGCTGACATTTTTAGAGAAAGTGCATATTGTGACAAATTTTGGTGATGATCCAGATCCCGGAGGAAATTAGCTACTTGCTGGAGGTCTGTGCTCTTAACTTGTTTTTCTAGTTTCTTGATCTTTCTCTGTAAGGCTGGTTTAATAACTGTATGCCTTAACATGAATTACTCACTATACCTGTCAAATTATGCCAGAGCAGTTGGTGGCACAGTAACGCAATGACCAATGAAACAATAAGCAAGGGAACTGGGCATGCATAGAAGGGAGTTAATACTGCTGTGATTTTCTGAATGTGGAGAATGATTGTCTGTCAAAAGGGGGGCTGCTGACCAAAGCATCTCAGATAAAGTTGTAGAGAGGCAGTAATTGCTTCAATTCAGTTTTGTATATTGTTATTTACAGACCCCAGACACACTGACTTCATGTTGATTACAGTATATTTGGGTCATGTTGTGGGGATGATTGGTCGGAGCCAACTTGAGCTAAATCCAGGCAAATCCTTGAAAAATTTTAAAAGGCTAAAAAAAAGACTAGAGATCAGGATGAAGGTTTACCTTACAGCATACTGCCAGAACTACAATAGGCCTGTTTAGAGTGAGGCATCTGTTTGTGTCAATATCATTAAAGCAGCAGAAATTGTATGTCAAGGCGTTTATAATCTACGAAAGAAATTGGATTAAAACCACAGGCAAAATAATTATATTTCTTTTTGGATTATATAAGTTTATTATATGTATAAATATAACACTTAGGTTACAAAAGTAAATACAGTTGACATGCAAGCAAAATCTTCACACCTTGATTTTATCTATGAATTACTTTCCAGTTTTTCTGGTCAAAATATGTTTTTACATTATTTAGAGCCATTAGGAAATGCCTCCTTAATGGATTAAGTTTAAATACGGTAATACACAGATCGTTGTGAAAAACAGATATGCATTTTTACATACAAAGATGTTAGATATTCTTTATTTTTGTCGTTCACCAATCATTCTTCTATAGATGATGTGCTACTGTAAATGCTGATAAATATGGAATGAATACTGTGGTGCATTCAATGTTACACAAAGACTCGGCCAGTTGTTTGCAGATTATGTAAAAGTATATTATACCATAAAAGTATATGATGCATATAAATAGAAAGAGTATTTTATTTTTACTCTTTAGATGAAGCTTGTTTTTTTAAAGGTGGTCATGGTAAATCAGTGTGTTAGGAAATCACTGATCATCGGAGTCTTGCAGATGTTCTTGACTCAAGGGCTAGATACTCAGAGTTCAATTAATCTAACTCCAAGTTTTCTTTGATTGGGGTAGGCAAAGTTAGAGTTCCTGAACTGCTATCACTTGCTTTTTTAACATTTGTTATTTATTAATAAGTACACACAATCTCTCAACATGGCAGCATATTAAGATGGCCGATTTAAATTTTTTGGCTATTCTTCCTCACTTGTCCAGTTTAAGAAAATCGTGGCTAAAAATGCAGCAGTACATATAACATAACATACTCCAAAAATCTTATTGATTCTTCCAGCCAGTTTGGTCCAGTAACCACTCTTTTCTTCACACCTATCACTGTTTAGAAGAGTGATCATTTTCTTCATCTCCCTCAGCTCATCAGTTAACTTGTCCAGTGCAAGTTGCCCCTCCATCTGTATGATGCCAGTATCCTGCAAAAGTACATGTTTTTCAGAAGTTATAAATCAGATTACTGGACACATTAAAATTGAGCTAAATCAAATATATATTAAAGTTCAAACAAAAATGTCAGTCTAACTGTTTTGCTTTTACAAGACAATATCTCCATACTACAAATTTTTAGGCAATCGGTGTGACAGACCAACAAATGTTTGTGCATTTTTATAAACTGATTAACATCCAAAGCAGATGCTTTTAAATGAATGATATTTAGTAAATTGTATCCACATGTGTGTAATTTACTTTTTACTTTATTTCTTAGTATAAATGCAACTGTTCTCACATCTCTATGTTAACTCTGCGCAAGGACCCATAGTTAAAGCTATGGGTCAGCACAGCTAAAGGAGAAGTAGCTCTGCTGCAATCAACATCTTTGTTTATAAATGTTCGAGCTCGGCCTGTTTTCTGACTGTGACTGGCTGGATGTGCTAGTCTGTTGAAGCTCAGGGCTCGTGCTTGTGGAGCTGGTTGATAGTTGCCTTTTAGATGTGCTTCGTTGTGTGTTAGACTTAGACAATTTTTGTTGTGTGTGTAGAGTGAATAGAAAAATTAAATTTCATTTACTAAAGCTTTTCAGGCAGTAAATGAGCTGTTTCTGTCTCCTTGAACCCCAGTCGGCATCTGTGGATAGCCGCCCACACAGAACCTGGTTCTGCTGAAGGTTTCTCCCTGTTAAAAGGGAGTTTTTCCTCTCCACTGTCACTACAAGCATGCTTAGTGTGAGGGATTGCCTTCGAGTCAATGAGTCAATGCAATCAAGTGGTTTTCCTTAGATAGAAAACTGAATCAATTTGACTGTATGATCTGGTTGAATTGTAAAGTGACTTGAGATGATATGTGTTGTGGGTTGGTGGTGCTACATAAATAAACTGAATTGAATTGAATCAGGATAATTTGTGGTTAGGCCATCTATTAATCGTATTCTGTACAAAAATAATTTTTTATGAAAATGTGTTTTTATGAAAATGTGACAAGAAAAAAAACACAAAAATCCACAAAAACATTCTTCTCTTGGACATTTGCCTTGCATGTTACATTGTAAAAAGTGTAGAAGAAAATGAAAAAAAAATGTAAACAACTGGCCGAAATATGCAATGTTAGGAATAGTGCTAAACCAACACTGTGGATCATTTGGAACACAGTGTTGAGACATGGTAGTGGCAGCGTCATGCTGTGGGGAGGATTCCCTTCAGGGAGGAAATTGGTCGGAGTCAACTTGAGCTAAATCCAGGCAAATCCTTGAAAAACTTTAAAAGGCTAAAAAAAGACTAGAGATCAGGATGAAGGTTTACCTTACAGCATACTGCCAGAACTACAATAGACCTGTTTCGAGTGAGGCATTTTAATGTGTTGAAAGATCCACTCAGTCCTGTCTACATCTAGTGCATTTAGTGTGGGGAAACATACAAATGAATGTATGCAGACTCACCATACAATCTGATGGAGATTGAATATTTGATTTATGCTGCTTTATCACATTAAATCCCAATCAAAGATATTGAAGCATGAGTGCTTTTACAAGGAACTGTAATGAATTTTTTCATTACGACACATGTTGTGGAAGCATTTTACTAATAACAACTGACTGTGATATTTAATTAAATTTTCACATTGTGGGAATGTTCATTTTATGTATTAATTACAACTCCAAAAACATTGTGTAATATATAGTAGCTCAATAGTTTAACAGACTACTGATTTAAATAAAAATGTCCAACCTCTTTGGCTGCAGATGGCCTTCTAAAAGCTGTTACATCACTGGAAGAGGCATTGTATTTCTTCATTGCTGTAAAAATGTAGCGGATGTAAGAACAATTCAGTTTATTAAAATAAAGTGAATCAATGTGCATATATACTCTGTGTGTAAGCTGACAAGGTTTTTCTAGTTTAATACATCACCCGGGATTTTGTCTTGAACTGCTTTCTCTTCTTGTAATGAAGAATCCTTCTCTATAAGATACATCACAAAAAGGGTCTCCAGGAGGCTGAGCATCATCATGGTAAATATTCCTATACAGTAGACCACTTAAGGGGTAAGAAACCATACAAAGTTTAAACATTATTCACAATATGTTTCTAAAAATATCTTGTAAATAATGTGTTTAATTTGAGTTTCATCACCTATGATCGGAATCCTCTCAGATGAAGAGGGCAAAAGATCATTGAGAATAAGCTGCATGACTGTGACAGCGAGCAGTATAGTGATTTTAAAGCCAACTTTCTCACCACCAGTGTCTGACAATAGGAAGGAAAATAAATCCAGACACAAGAGGAAAAATATGGGCAGCAAGAAGTTGATGATATAGATCACTGAAATCCTTTTCACTGTGATCTGTAAAACGATAAGGTAGTGAACATTCCTCTCTCTCTCTCTCTCTCTCTCTCTCTCTCTTTTTTTTATATATATATATATATATATATATATATATATATATATATATATATATATATATATATATATATATATTCTTGATTTATGAACTTGATTGTACTTCAGAAAAGAAAGACAATATTAGAATACTTACTCTGAAATTTAACATGCGTTTTATTTTCCAGGTATGGACCGTCATATTTCGGAACGACCATTCATACTGAGTTATTGTTTTCAGAATCTTTTTTGTGTACGTATCAGTGCCATAATGGCTACACAGAAATAAATCCTCTGCTAAGGTGAAAAGAAAAGCAATTGTAATGTCTTATCAAATTAGAAGAAAAGTATATACTGGCTACTCATAGGGGGCAGAGTTGCAATCAAACGTTTATACTTACAATCATACAAGTTTGACATAAATGTGATATTGCAGCTTTGAGTATCGAAGGGAAATTTGTGCACACGCATCTTGCATATAGTCTTCATCACCTGATTAATGCTTACTTCAGTAGTGCCATTGGAAGTAATCTTGAGAAAGGGACTTGTAAGAGCTTTTTCCTTGTCTGTCCTGTGCAAGACAAACATACTATAGTTACCAAAAGAAGTGTTCAGTTTCAAAGTTACGTATTTGGTAAACAATGAATATTAGTGTCATACATATAGTACAAAGCATTAAAGCAATTGCTGACAATCACATGTGGGCTGAGCCTTCACCAAAAAGATTTGATCTACAACATTTTTTTAGTGCACTTGGAAATAGAACTGCTATTTAAGTAATATATACATTTATTAAAAATATTATGTATTTAAAATAATTTTTAATATTATTACCTTAAACTGCTTAAACGGCCACTCATCTGCCCAATCTTTCCCTTTTAATTGAGCAAAACTACTTTGGTGTGGGCTATCATTTTAGATTACCCCAAATATGCCCAGTTATTGCAAAAGCATTTTTTTTTTTTGTATTCCAAGGCAAATTAGGGTGTTTAATGGAGTCATTCAAAATTTAGTCCTGAATGTTTTAAATAAAGAAAAACAAATAAAAGTAGCTGACTTCTTTGTTTAAAAATTTGCTGATGACTTAAAGTAGCTGCAGCAGAGGGATTTCCAATGATTCTCATGCTAACAACATTAGCTTTTAACCAGGGACCCCTTTTGTAAGCTAATAATGTTCCAAAATATGTAAAGGGAATTTTTCAAATGTTTTTCTATTTTTATTTCAATTCAATTAGTTAGAGTTGTTTAACATTAGAGTTTCAACAACTTACTATACATTACCACTAAGTTAGAAAGGTTAGAAAGAAACATTTGATGAGAACAGAACAAAATAAATTAAACCTCTCTCAAGTGTGTAGTGGGAGAGCAGGGGTTGATGTCTGTCTTTTCTTTAAGCATATTTCTGTCTGCCTATATTCATGCTCTAAAGCAGATGTGCAGCTGACATCAGCCAATCACGTGACTTCTTTGACTCCTCCTTACAAGAAAAAGCAACCTATATGTACATAGTTTCAACCAGTTTCAACTCAGCATGGTTGACCTGGATTTTATAGAGCTAGGCAATGGGCTGTATTCAATGTGGTAAGCCAAACAGCTGGTGTCCCTGGCTCCACCTGATCCTCCAGATATGTTTCCAGTCCAGTTCTGGAGCTAAAGAAGAACAGCAGAAGAGAAGAGCAAGAGGCTAGGCACAGAGAGAACCATAGCTGGGCAGACGCGGCAGACTGGTTCCCTCCTGGTTGCTAAATGAGAATAGTTGGAAAGAAGATCAAGAAGCTGTGCAGAATGTGCAGCAGATCTGCTTCAGAGCCGGCTGGCCAGGACTAGAACTCTAAGAGGAAGACTAATATTGAATGATTTAACAGTCCATCTAAGGACTAAATTACAGCAATTTATTTTTAAAGCCTCCCACAAACCTTTCTTACGGATGGACATTGGATATGTCAGCCTCTGCCATGTCTTTGTGCAAAGACAAATAAGCCTCCGCCTCATTGATGACCTACTAAATCAACTTAATTCAAAAATACTTTATTAATCCCAAAGGAAAATTAAATGATACATCCATCCATCCATTTTCTAACACGCTTATACCGAGTGGGGTCGCGAGTGGTGCTGCTGCCTGTCTCCGGCAGTCATTGGGCGAGAGGCGGGGTACACCCTGGACAGGTAATTAAATGATACAGAAACTGATAAATAATTTTTTTAAACAGGTGTTGAAGGTGTTGATAGCTGCAAGCAGGAAGGATCTTCTGTAGCGTTCTTTAACAGGATCTGGAGAAGCCTCTTACTGAAGACACTCTGTTGTTGTTTAAAAGTCTTCTGAGGAAGATGTCCACTGTTCTCCATAATTTTCTTCACTTTATGAAAAATTCTTCTTTGTGAAATAATCTCCAGAGGTTCTAGAGGAGTTCCTAGAATAGAGCTGGCCTAGAATAGAGCTGGCCTTCTCAATTAGCTTTTGAGCTTTTGAAGTCATTAGCTCTAATACTGTTTCCAGTCTCGGACTGGGAAAGATTTTCGGCCCTGGCATTTTTCCATCTACAGTACTCCACTTTTTTTTGACATTCAGGATCAGATGAATGTTTCACACCATTTTTCAGTACCATGTTTTCACCTGGTACTGAAAGTCAGACATATAGAGAGCTAAAAGGAATGGAGAGAGTACCATCCCCTGTGGTGCTTCTGTGCTGCTGACTACTAGATTAGACAGTTGACAGTTCAGTCTAACAAACTGTGGTCTTTGATCCAAGCGATTGTTGATGCCTCCATCTTAATCTTCTGAAGTTTTTCACAAAAAAGTCAGGCTAAATTGTGTTTAATGCACTGGAGAAATTAAAAAGCATCATTCTCACGGTGCGGTCTGCCTTGTCTAAAGGAAAGTGGGTTTGTTGAAGCCTGTATATGATGGCATCATCAACTCCATCTCCACTGCAATAAGCAAACTGCGAGAGGTCCTGATAGCTGCTTATTTGTTTTCAGAGGTGAACCAACAGAAGTTTCTCTAGAAGCTTCATGATATGGGATGTCAGAGTAAACTGCAGGCTCCAGTGGAAAAGGTGACAGAGCAGAGGACTCTGTCCACGACCACCATGGATTATACCATCAACCCTCTGCATGAGGCCTTATGAGGGAGAAGAAGTATATTCAGCAGCATATGGCTGTCCCAGTGCTGCGCCACAGACAAATTGATGGAAGTCTGTTGTTCTTTCTGCAATTAGACTGCACAACCTGGTAAACTTGACTTTTATAAACAATGTATTTTTACTTTTTTCCTTGTATTTCCTTTAAATTGTTTGGTTAACTTTTAGATTTGGAGTCTCTTTTGTAGTGATCAGTGAATGAGACATCTTGAAGCATTTCAACACAATGCCAAAGAGTATTGATACTGTCTTACAGAACACTGGCAACTGCTGGACATTTAAAGACACTACAGGCAGCTTATTTGAAAGACTAGACTGAATTAATTTGATGGCCTAGTACTAGCATAGTAATGATATAATTTAAGTTGTTGTAGGATATATTTGATTATTTTATATTTATATTCAAATTTAAAATATATTTGACATTTTTAGATGCAGCCAATGAATAATGTAAATATATTATAACGTGAAAATTTAGGGGAAAATGTGAATAAGGATGTTTGTGGACTAGGAAACAATAAGTACAGTAAAAACATTAAATAAACTACCGGTAAGAGTCAATTTCGAATTAACTTTACCTCAGATAATTTAAATAACAACGCAACGGCTGAAACAGTCCTATTTCTTTTAGGCTGCTCCAAAGTTCTTGATAACTTTTTAATTCTTGATGAGACATTTTTTTTAGCTGATGCATCATATTGACAGATACGTTTTTAAAACACAGCTTAGTGTGTCAGTCAGTTAGAACCAACTCCTGTATCGGTCACATGACTTTCTTGAAATGGCACACACACAGATACAGTGTTTTGATCTATGGGCTCCATGCATGCACCACATCACTACTCTTTTGCAAGGATGCCCTGGCCAAAGGACATTCTGGATGAGACTGTGTGAATGAGAGCAATTGAAGTTTGTTTGTCTGTCCGTGCCAAAGTTCTAAAGGGCAGATTATACTTCACTACAAACGTCACCTGGGTCTGGTCGCGAACCAGTTTTGCTGGTATGCTTCTGCACCGTCGGTCTGGAATTTCTAGGGACGCACAACAGTTTCCCGCCAATGCACAAGGGGGAGCCTATTCAAGAACTCGCGAGAATTTCGGCGGCGCCAGCAGGAGTGTATATCTTCCAAAACAACAATGGCGCGTCTGCAAGATATCACGGTCACAGAGTTGGATCTAGAGTTGCTAGACATCAATGAGCATATATTTATTTAAATAATTTGTCTGAGGCATCGTATAAGTGGTTGTACTTCAGGACCTCCTCGATTAACCTTTCGTCGTAGTTGTCCATTGTTCCTCGGTTTTTAGAAATGGCGCACCCCGTCACCGAATTGAGAAGAACGACCACACAGACAGCCGGAAAGGCATACCAAGGACCAATCACAGCTTCTTTTTGTCTGTGCACTTCTGCTTGAGGTATGCACGGGTTTGCGACCATCTGACGCTTAGTCAGGATTCTTTTTGAGGTGCGCGATGACGGGTGCAGAACCTCTGCTTAGGGAGGGTGGTCACACAGAGACAGATTTGACGGTTTGACGGTTGCAGAGGCTATGCATCAGAAGCATAAATTGGCCCTTCAGGGTCTCTTCATCTAAACATAAAAATTTCACATTCTTTTCACTATGCTGACACTATGCGACTAAGACAGTGGTCATACCAATCTTTCCCCACTTAACATTAGCAAGGTCTGGTTATTTTTAGGGATGTCCTGGAACAATTTTTTCATTTACAATAACAATAGTCAACAACAATAGATATAAGACAACTCACCGATGTAATATTAATCAATGAGTAATAGTAAGAGACCTGGTACCAGTGCTACCCACTGTACCACTGAGCAGTGGGTAGCACTGCTGCCTTGCAGCAAGAAGGTTCCGGGTTCGATTCCTGGCCT